TCCTAGTAAAGGAGCCCCAAGACTTCAGCAGTTCCCTGGAAAGTAATGTTCTTAATTGCTTTCACCCAGGACCACTCTGGTAAATATTCGTAAAGCTTGAGTTACTAAGAAACTGTTGCTCTGACCATTTGATGCAGTATTCAATCAGCGGCATTTAATCTCTAGACAAGTTTGTGCTTTACACAGCTTTTTCTAATTAATATTTCCATTTTTGTACAGAACTCCAAAATTCAGAACAGGACACAATACACTAAGCTTGAATATATATTTTTATCCATTACAGTGTCAGAAAATGCTGACAATATGCCAATCCAGCTGAAGCCACAGAGCACTCATATCTGAAGCTTTTATACATGAGACACTTCAAGATTTTTCTCATGAACTGTCCAGCTTTTGTTTTCATAAAGGAGATTGAAACAAATATATGTAACCTTTTGGAGTAATTTTTTAATCTATATTTAGGTAGCTGTTAGCACTTGCAGACTGCTGAGTAAAAGTATCTAAAAGCAAATTATTAGTTGCAGTCCTGCATTAGATCATTAGAGTTTGCACAAGGCTTTGTGTTTAACACAGCTACTACAGGCTTCTGTATCTCCTACCATCTGACTGTATCTGAAAAAAAGAAATAATACTGTTAAAGTCTTTATGCCCTACTAACACAAATTAGGGAGGTTTCACTGGCTTCAGTTGAGGCTCTGTCCATCCGTTTGCAGATGCAGTGACCCTTACTGATTCCAGACTAGCAGAGTACCAGAAAACCTCGTTTATTACATTCTCCCTATAAAAAATATGTGAACAGAACTTCTGTATTGAAGCTGCAAGTTTTTTAATACAAGGCTTTTACATGCCAACAGAGGTTGGTTTCCATTTGGTTAAGAGCACCTGCCTCATTCACTATGTAAAATTTTGATGCATGTGCTATGTTAAACAGTTCTATTCTTCTAGGGTCTCCGTGTGAAGCTTTGATTAAATAAGGCTGTGGCACACTGTAAATGCTAACCTCTTTCTGAGATCCAAAACAAGTGCTGCAGTTTTCAGAATTCAAAGCATTGAGCACTGCCTTAATAGCTGTGTCAACCCTGAAGCACAAAGCAGCAGTATAACATTGTCAGCATTCATGTTTCCCCTTAGCCCTACAAAGCTCACAAGCTATGATTGGAAAGTCCCCTTAGTTCAGATAATCTAGATCTTTGGCTGGGAGAGACAGGTACTGCTGCCCACAGGCCTTCCCTGCTGCATGCTTGGCAGCTTTCACTAGCATTCCTTGGACTGCTTCCTTTTCCCTTCTCCTTGAGATCAGCATTTACGGCTTCATATCCCTGTGAGCCCTGGCTTTCTGCCTTAGGAAGGCAAGGCTGCACCAACCCAGGAAGAGTCAAACTAGTCCTCTCCGCTTCATTTCCTCTGTCCCTACCTCAGAGTTGATTATTTCTTTTATTAGCTGGCACAGCTTAATTCAGTGCACTCAGGAAGGGCAATCCCATTATCCATTACATGTAACCTTCAATCTCCCTTATACATTACATATAGCCTTTTTTGCCTCTTCCTACAGAAGAAATTCACAGGGATTCCAACTGTATCCCAACTATAAGTAAGAAAAAAATGACCAGCCACCAAAAAAATAAACAAGTGAAGTAGGACTACAGAAAGCACTGCTGATGGTCGGTGGTGGAGGTTCTGTAGCATCTACCATTACAGTGCTGGAGAACTCAGACAACCACACAGATTGTATCCACGGTGCTCTAACACTCACTGAATTTCTCTGTACTATAAGATATGCAAAAGTGAAGAATCCTAAGATTCTGTGAGCTCTCCCACTGCAATCATTGAAGTTTGCAATCTTTTGACCTGCAGTGAGTTGCACCACTAAGGTATGAGTATATAGTTACAAAGAGACCTTCACTGGAAGCAAGGCCTAAAAGCAATTACAGCTTTTCCATCTATGCTGATACTAAAAAAATCTTAAATTAAAAAAATAATTCATAACAGCACATCTGCATTGACCAAGTGTAAAGCTTTGATATTCTGTTTTTCTCATTTGGACAAACTTGAGTCTCAATGCTGCCATATACAAGTGCTTCCATAAGTATGCTATCCATAACATCTTTGTCTCCCTCCCCCAGAGAACAAACACTCCTGCTCCCTTTATCCCACATAGCAAGGAACAGCCTGGTATCCCATCCAGTAACTTCCGCACCCTTTTGAACAATCCTGAGAGAAGCAATAATAAATAGCTGATGATGATGAAGGCAAGAACCATAGGACTGCTGGAGCTAAGATGGCCCTTCTGCCCATTCTCAGCACGCTAACCCCAAGGGTTGGTGCCATCCTGCTGTTATGGGAGTGACTGGGATAACGTCCTCGGTAATATCTACATTAAGCTACAGTGTATGTGTTACAGGGACCAAGGTGTTCTCAGAAGCCTGAACTGAATCATTCTGAGTTTAATGTGAACCCCAGTGCGCCTTGTCTGCAGAGAAGTGGCAGTAGCATGCACTAACATCACAACATATACTATTTTTTAACTATGATGCCACTCTTCCACTCAGTCTAAGTTGCTATGCCAACAGATTCACCGAAGATACTTCCATATTTCAGACTTATTGTAGAGAACAAGCCCCAGGCAACTCTATGTTTAGAACATATAGCCTAAAATTGGTGCTTTTCTGTTTTGTTTAGGGGTTTTTTTGTTTGCTTTTAATTAACTGTATTATTTTTACTTCCCTGCCTAAATACTACACTACAGGCAAGCTGAGCAAATGCAAGAAATGCCACTGTGTGAAAATACAACTGCAGTCATCCCTGTTCTGTATGGAAACTATGTGACAGCACTCCAAAGATTTAAAAGCATTAAAACAAAATTTAAAAATGGCATCATGTGTCTTTCAGTTCTGTCACAGACTGAACACCATTCAAGAGGCTTGTAACGTTTTGTCTATCAGAACAAGGCAGTCATATATAAATGTGCTGATTTCTCATTTTCAAATGCACAATGTTTACACTGAACTTTGCTACCCTTGAAGTGGGTAGTTAAGAAACCAAGAAAAGGTGCCAAATGCCTTCCTGGCACAAAGTTCCCCCAGAACATATGGAGTTAACATGAGGGAAAAATTTGCCCCAATATGCGAAAATGTGGATTAACTGCCCTTGCTTAAACCAGAACTGTAAGAATTTAGACCTAACCATTTTAATACAAGAAAAGATTTCCTCTACAGATCATTTGCCCTATCTTAGAAAAAAATTTTTTTTTTCCTCTAGGGATCAAGAACTAACATTTGTGCTTGCATACAGGTACAGAATCAGTTACATAATGAGCTAGCAGAGCTGAAAAATTTCCTGCAGATTTTTTCTTGTTTTTAAAATAAAACCAACTATCAAGTCTTATTTCCTTCAGCTTCGGCCCTGCACTGCCAGCAGGAGCAGCAGCCCTCAGGCACAAATAAACAAGCAAGCAAGGAATGCTGCCACATACTTGGCTCCAGGGCTCAGATATGATCCAAACAGCACAGGAAATGGAGATTATGAGCCACCTCGTCAATCCTCCTATAGTCTTTATTCTTTGAGAACCATGACTAGTACAGGTAAGTACATTTTTTCCTATGCACTCCATTCTACAAGTTTACAAGTGATCATGTCTAATCTGAGGCACAACTTCTGCCCACATCTAAAGGGAAAACAGTGGAGGAGCATGAGCTTGGAGTCATGGTACTACAGAAACAGCAAGAGAAAGAGGAGACTCTCAGAGCATATTCAAAGACACTGAGCTTTTGACCCACAGGCAGCAGGGGAAACAGTCACTAGTAGTCTTCACATGAAATATAACAATACCAGAGGACCCTCCCAAAAATTCTTTTGGTTGTCTTCCATCACAGTCACCTCTAATACTCCTTCCAGGTTCTTAGTAGAAAGACTGCTCCTAACCTCAAAAGTCGCTTACAGAACTTCCAATGTTTTTTACTGGTAAGTAGCTTTAAGCTTCTGGCTTGCTAAACTCAGCATCAGTAACTTTCCACACATTGCATACCGACCTCAAAACTTTTCAGATTTCACTAAAGCATTCTCCAGGCAGTCAGTAGTTGATAGTGAGTATTATCACAGCTCACCTGCCATCCTCTAATGTCCCATCTCATCTTTCACCCATAATGGAGAGACAGAAAAGACTCTTCTCTCACCATTTGTTGTTCAATCAACAAACTCATTTGCCTTGAAGGCTCTGCAATAAGTAGCTACTTGCAAAACTTGTAAGGCTCCCAGTCATTCAATGACTTTTAATGTAATAATCCAAGGGGGCGGGGGGAAGCAGCAGTATATTCCATATTACGGGATGTACAAGGAAGCCCTTACACCTCCTTACAGAGAGGGGTGTACCAAGTAAGTACATTAACACCCTGCGGAGCAGCACTAGAGATACTAGGAAGCACTCAAAGCAGAAGTCAGCACAGCCTGGCCAGGCAGGGTTCATTGCTCTAGTTTTGTGCCACTTCCTACTCAAGTAGCATCACTGCAGTCTGTGAGCTGTATTCCTGTGAGGCACCGCTGCAACAAAAAAGAACAAGTAGCTACAGGAATTGGAGAGCACTTCTCAGTTCTCGGATCAGGGTACATGCCCTGCCTGAAACCAAATTCAACACCGGGATAAAATGTAGGCATGCTGCATCCCACCTTCCCACATAAATGAAACCTTGGTGAACAGTCCAGTTGTAAATCAAGACCAAGGGATACATTGATATATACAGGGAACCCTGGATAGAACATAGTGTTAACCTGCATCACGCCATGGCCAGGCTAGCCTTGTAGCAACTGTCTCACCCATCTTTATTCTAATCAAAACACCAAAATCTAGACATTAACCATGTTACCATCACAGCCTCACCTGCTCTGTCACTACTGATTCTCTTAAAGAGCAGACTATGAAGACGATAACTTTACACTGGGAGAAGAGGCACAGATTCTCCCCAGTTAGCACACATTACCTGTTTTCACTTCTCTGGCTCTAAAGACAAATCTAAACTGTTTAGCAATCCACCTTCTGACAAGTTCTTCATGCAAGCTATGCTTGGCTGTGAAAAAAATCACGAAACTGGAATCCTAAGATCCAGACTGATTATTTCTGCAGAAAGCATCATTTTCACATTTTTCTCCCACCAGAAAGGAAGTGTTGTCGCTGTCAAGACAGTGTAAGGTAGCCCAGGAAAACTCACAGGCAAATTTCACTGTCACTGTTCCCATTTACTTGTTCTAAAGACTGGAGTAATTTTCTTTTTATTTTTCAGATTCTTAAATCCTGCATGCTGCAAATCTTGATGTAAGCTAATAATTTGTGTGGACAAACAATGCAATTACTTAAATAGCCACCTGGGTTTCTCTTTTACAGTGTATCTGGTAAAAAAAAAAAAAAAAAAAAAAAAAAAAAAAATCAGTTCTTACTTTCTAGAGAGAAAAATTACAAGAACTCACATATTCATATGTATATTCACACACACAAAGAAGTGTTTTAAATGTGTTGACCATTAGCACCAATTTTAAAGATTATTTACAAATAAGAAGGGCCAAAAAACAAGTTAACAGCAAGTTCAAGTGTCAAATCTAGGAAATCTTTCTCCTTTATATGCTCATTACATGCATCATGCAAACACCTTCCATTCCATGAGACTCAAGTTTGTGTTACTTCACATTTTATTTGACAGTGGAGAACTTCAATTGAGAAGAAAAAAGGTAGAATCAATTTTAGTCCTTCTCCTACTTTCCTTCTGGGTTTTTATTAAAGTCATAGAAATGCAAGATTAAATGAGGTAATGTTCCTTAGGATGCTGTGAAAAAGGAGGCTGGCTCTATCATATATCAGATCACTTATAAATTACCTGCTGCGTAGCCCCTTTGATGCAGAATTCCTGGAGGAGGACAAGGCATTAGTGCACTCTGCATTAGGTAATCCAAACCAGTGCTTAAGATTACTGCAAAAACACCAGAACATCTCTCCGCAGTTCTGTTTCATTCATGGTCTAACAAATCCTCACAAATTTTTCACTTCATTTAAAGTGAGCAGGTATAAGGAAAATATATAATAAAAAATAAGTTCCCAGCTCTGGTAAATTTTCTCCTCTATTTTTATTATTATTTCAATTCCGATGGCTCCAGTAAAAGATAATTAACTGCCGAGGATTCAGGGATTTTAAGTAATGTTCTTCCAGCTCACAGTTCCTTCACAGAAATCACTAAAAAACACAGTAAAACTTTTACTTGCCTTTCATTCTCAGTAGTATATCTCAGTGAACTACGGAACTTTTGGAGACTAATTTCCTGTCCACCTCCCGTGGATTCTCTGGTGTTTTAATATTATGGTTCAAATCATATAGCAGCTCCTCTGTCATTATGGACACTAATTTCAAACACTGTACTCTGTTCAGATATGTAATTTCATAAGCAACTCAGATTCTCTTTCAATTTTCATGAAAAACATTTAACGTTGAGGGTAGAGGCATGCAGAGGAGGAAGAGCAAGGCAGAGCGTGCTCAACACAATCTTCAGTTTCTTAAGAAACCAGATTAGAACTGCCAGAGGGAAAAAAAAAGCAGCGATCAAAAATACTCCGGGCAATCACTAGATGGTGCTACTAAGAGGAAATATGTACCATGAAGGAACTTTAAAAACCCCGGAGCCATCTGTAAGCCACATGAAAAAGACTCCCCATCCCATTTGTAACTGTGTAGGCCAATTTCTCCCACGCAAACACACTACAATCTTGCAGAACCTAGAGCAAGTACTTAAAGGCACAAGGGATTCCCCTTCACAACTGCTGAGGGTTTTTTTTTTAATTCAAATTGGCACCTGAAGAGCAGCAGCCACTGAGTGCTCTGTGGTCCAGATGGAGAGCAGAGACAGAGGTGCAGGTTGCTCAGACAGTACTGAACCTCCCTAACAGGGCACCTCTGCCAGCATCCCTCATCACCCTGACTTTGGCCATCGTTGCATGCAGTGTCATGAGAAGTTTCTGCTTTCCCACAGGTTCAGGAGCTCGCATTTCTTGACATGCACAATCATAAGGACTATTCATGCAATCTACAGGACCCTCACAGTTCTTAGAAATAAGGCTACTACTTCCTGAATAGAACAACTACTGCCCGGTTTAAAGATAACTCCAAACTACATAAAAATGAGCAGGTACACCATAAATTTCTAAAGACAGAACCAATCTCACTTCATATCACGAAGAATGTGCCAAATCAAATGCTTCTGTAACCAAAGTTACATCCGTGTTGCTGTGTGCCACAAGCTAGAACCCAGCTGGCTCTGAACAAGATCCTAATTTAGCATTTCGCCAATTAACAGGATCCCAATAACCCAATCTAAACACAGCATTTTTCTGCAGTAGGTCAGCACACTCTGTGCTGTCTCAGTCCTCTACCTGGCAGTGAATCCGAGTTCATAAATTTAAATCTCCACTGTAATGCTAAATGATCTCTCTTCCCACCCCCTTCGAAGTGCTCCATTCTCAGGGGAATAACATTAGCATTTATGGAAGTAAACGCCTCAGGGTTTTGCTAACGTGCTAATGAGCTAGAGCCTTCCACCTTCAGATCACAAGCATGAATCCTATTCAGCTCAAAGGTAAAAATACTAGCAGAAATTTGATATTAAAATGAGTTCTAGTTCCAGCTCCCCCATCACAAATCCATCTTTATGCCTTCTGTGTAGTTGTATTTTCCAAGTCAGATAGAGCTTTGAACTCAGCAGAGCCTTCCACCAAGGACCCCCAATTGCTCAAGATCCAAAATCATTTTGATGCAGATCTTCCGGATATACAGAACAGATAATCACACTTAGAAAAGGGAAAAATAAAAATAATTTTAAAAGTAATGTAAGTTCTACAAACTGGAATTCACAGAGGTGCCAAAAATACTGAGGTTTTTCAGAAAAGAGCTACAGAAAGCAAAATCTTATAAATATCCACTGGTTTAGAACCCTTTAACACTAAAGATTCTACTGTAGCCACAGTATTTAAACTATCCAGTTTTGCTTACACACAAACAGCTCTAACTGATATACATTTTTAGAAAGAAGTCACACAAAATCTGAAGAATTTACTCTGGGAAAAATAACAGGGAACAGGGTTTTGAATTCCAGCATTTGCAAACCCCTACAGGGCTTGTGCCCCCTTCTTTTTTCTGCTAATTTAAAATCGCAGTTTTATGCCCTAACGTTGCTCTCAGTCACTGCAGAGGTTCCTCTCTTCCACAGGAGGGAGCTTTCCTCTTGCAAAGATGACTGAATCTCTTTCCCAGCTCTCATTTTGGAAACGTGTAGGAGCTCTAAACAGTTCTAGCGTGCCCCACGCCTGACAGCTTCCACATAGGATTAGCAAGGAAGATTCAGAAAACGAAGGAAAAAAAACCCACAAACCCACATCACAAAAAAACAGAAAAATCAAGCATTTATAAGCGAAACTGTTCTTGGACCCTTGTGTTATATCCCACAATTACGGCTCCCCACCCCTAATGCAATTACTCACAGAGGAGAAAAATGTGAGAATGTCGTCCAACACCATTTATGTCCAGACATAACTGACACATATAAATTTCATTCATGTGACTGAAGGTGTCAGCCAGACAATACTAGAAGAACAACAATAAATCACAGTAATTCAAAGAACATAACATCTTGAGAAGACATCTGGCCTAATAGCTGAAAGAAATACTGAATAGAAATTTGAAAATATATTTTAAAGGACAAAAATGAAAGCAATCCTCTTCTGGACAACCATTTATTAATCCAGCAAGTGACAGTCAGCTTTTACTAGGGTTAACCCGAATGGGTGCTTTTTTCTAGAAAAACAGCTTGCTTCCACCATTCAAAATTCTGTGCCACACTTATCTGCAGCTCTGAGCTGCAGTTTCTACTAAGGTAGCACTGTGCTATCATCACATTTCACAGCTGCTACTTCCACTACTGCTTCTTTAGAAGAAAAAAAAAAAAAAAAATCACAAAGCCAAGTGGGAACGATGCTTAAGCTGTGCTGTTCTCACTATTTAATAGCTAAAGAATTTCATATTCCCTGCTGTCTAAATTCTAGTCAAACGGGTATATCCTCCTCCTGATGTGTACAGCTAATCCCCATCATCAACAGTGGGAATAACACATGCACACAAAGGGGAGAATTGAGCCCTTGAGGCCTGTTGTAATAAATTCAAAATATCAGGGTAAACATATTTTGCATATGATGGGTAATAAGCCTGAACACCAGCTTCTGTGTTTGCAAATGCATTATGGGTTTGCACACTCAGAGCACTACAGATACCTTACTCACCTAGTTTCGAGCTTTGTATGAGTTTCAAGAAACAGTTCTGCCATGAATAACTAATTGCTATATATAAAGATCTGTACATACAGATCTAATCACAGATCAAAGCTCATGGAGCAAAATGGACAGAAAGGATTAAGTGAAATACTTCTGCTGTAAATGTCTTACAATCTTGAATTATGACTAGCCACATAAATAGCACATGCTGCTCAGGACTCTTTCCTCCTATTAAAGTAGTAACTTCAAAAAAAAATATATTACAAGTCTTCCCTGTCTTCACTACTTGATACTACTTCAAAGCCAACTAAGGTATAAGCATGTGGCTGTGTTTTGGCTTATACATAATGAACACTAGTAAAGACAGATTCAGCTGCAGGCCATGGTGAGCTAAACAGAAGGCTAAATATTGTCAGAGAAGCTATCTCTGGTGTGACAACTTAGTGGTGTTAAATTGTCTTTAATCAAAGCCCTATCTAACATTTTAGGAAGAAAAAAAAAAATCCAAACAATCTGCAGACCATATCACATCACACTCCATGCTCAGGGTAATTTTTCAGAACAAAACTTCTCCTGTTCACAGGTAATTAATTCTGAAAAATTATCATGCTATATGGTAAATGTAAACTGCTAACAGAATATTAATAATGAAACAAACCAAGCCAGGCAGCATAGTTTGAGAAAAGACCGCAAGTCTCAATACAAGCAAAGGCAACCAGAGTGTCTTGTTTGTGTAACACTTAATAAGTCCCAGAGGGAAAAGAG